GTTCTGTTTTGGAGGTTTCAGCTCATGCAGCCCCAAATATTCATCTGATTTGTTTGTTCAGCTTGTGGAGAAATTGACGTGAAGAGTCCCTTCCTGCCGTCCTCTGTGGAAGTAAACACGCCGTTAGAGGAGCTTTCTGTCAGCCAGACACGCAACTTGATTTGTTGTTGCTGCTAAAAGTTTCTGGATGAAGCTAAAGGAACATCATGCTCCGTCTGATCTACTTTTATTTGACAGAGTCTTGGTTTTTCTTTTCAGCTGAAGGTTAAATAAGGAACATGAAACAGAGAGAAAGGTTCACGTATTCAAAAGATTCCTTTCTGTCATGACTTAGGAAGCCTGGACACAGAGCAGATGCTTCTTTTTCTTTAAATCAATAAAAGTTTTGCATTTATAGTCGACATCTGCTGCTGCTGCTTCCTCCTGTACTGTAACGCACCTGCCTGGCAAAAAGAGTCAAACATTTTGATTATTACATCCTTTGTTGTGACAATGCCACAACGTTTTTTCCGCCCAGAGTTGCAGCAATCTTTCACAAAGCTCTTGTGCTGGATTGTTACTCCTGGAGTAATTTTCGGTAGTTTGGTGGCTCCTGGGAAGGTTGAATGTTTCCTTTATTTGTAGATAAAGGCTCTCAGAGTTGGTCAGTCGAGTACAAATCTTCAAAAATCGTAGTGTAACTTTTTCCATCCTGATAAAAAATGTTTCTGTCCTTCTTCTTTGTGATTTATTTTATTTTATGAAGTAGAACCAAAACATGTAATATCAGGTTAGTTTGGATCTCCTGTGTAAAGTTTTTCCTGATACTACAATTGATTTAGTTTGAAAAATACAAGTGAGCCAAAAAAATGCAAAACCAGAAAATTCCTTTTCACCACCCCCTAATTTCAGTTGCTAGTTATAAATGTAAAATGTGTTTCCTCATAAGGTGTTTGTGTTATTAGGCTGATTTTTCCTCCTCATCCTGGTTTGTCTTTTCTAATTTCTTGGTTTCTCTCCTCCTGCTGTTTCCATCAGTCTTCGCCTCGAGGCGCCGCATTAAAAACAGGGGAAGCCAAACTGCAGCCGACTCGGTGCAGAGCTTCGGTTCTGGTCTAATCCGCCCCGACAGAATGCGCTTATCGAAAACTTAGTCATCTAAAGTCCTTGTGTTCTGCAGGGTTTGACCCGACCCGCCTTGTGGAGAAGCGGTTCCACTGGACCTTCTGAACCGCAGATTTAATGTCTCGTCAGAGGAAAAGTTCAGCTGCAGCTGCTGTTACTGATGAGAAAGGAGTCTGAACGAGTCCTGATGCTGTGAATCTGTAGCGTCTTCAGAAACATCTGTTTCTGTTTGTTTGTGCCTTTAAATGCTGAATTTACTTTGGACCAGACGTCGTATGTTTTCAGTTTACAGCAGCGTTTTTCAACCTTTTTTGAGCCAAGGTACATTGTTTTAATTGAAATAATCTCGAGGCACACCACCAACCAAAAATGTAACCAAAGATACTCTGACTATATATTACATATATAGTCATTCTGATCAAAGTGTCTTGAATAGGAATCAAATAAACACAAACATTTATTTTTATCATATTTTACATTTCTTATTTCAAATTGCACGTAACATGTCCCCTTCAGAAATACACCTGAACACCTGAACAGCCACAACACTGTCCTGTGTGATGCATGAATGTAGTAACATTCATGCATCACTAATTCTCCTGTTTTAATGTAAAATGCTCTGTACCTGCTGCCATCTAGTGGTAAGAAAATTACATGATTACGCCACTAGTCACTACTACAGCAAAGACACTCAAAGATGGCATCATTTGCAGATAATTAATTTGTTTTCAAAAAAATCTTTTAAGACCAATTACCGTATTTTCCGGACTATGAGCGCACCACGCTATAAACCGTATGTTAAAATTTTTTGAAAGCCCCCCTGGAAACTTACAGAAACGTACATATATCAGCCGCACCGGGCTGCAGGCCGCTGGTATCTCTGCTGCTCTCTGTGTCCCATAAGGACCCAGCAGAGGGCAGCAGAGAGCTGCGTCCTAATGACTGCTGGATATATTAAGGACACAGTTCTCCGTCTCCAAATCCAATTTTGTTCGACTTTACGTGCAGCGGCTTTATTTCCCTCCTGTGCTGCCAGATCGATACTCCTCAACTTAAAAGCTGCATCATATGAGTTTGAAAACATTTCTCCGTCATGCCTGCTGCTAGCATGTGGTTGTTCTAAATGAAAACTAGCGCGTTCTTCTTTGGTTTCCAATTTTGACTTCCAATGATTCACTTCCTGCTAGAGAGCCCCCTGGTGGTTGAATCCACAGAAAAGCCGCACCGGGCTACAAGCCGCATGGTTCAAAGTTTAGGAAAAAGTAGCAGCTCACAGACGTCCACATCTTTAAAAACGTCTCATGACGTGAAGCTGAATGAATAGAGCAGCACTTTGCACCAATCTGATGGTTTAATCACCTAAATAACAGATAAATAAAACAATATCTGTGTTGCTTTCAGATTGAAAATGTTTATTTTGTCAATTATATGTCTTTTGATTGAAATATGATCGATTGCAATTAATTACAGATTCTGCAATTAACTCCATTACTACAAAGTCCAGTCTCACTGTCTCCAACACTGGACGAAGACACGGAGACAAATGGACAGGATGGACTTCAGGACCAGTGGTGAATTAAAACTCGGAGCGCTCAGCTGTTGTCTCCATAGCAACACTGAGTTTTTGTCTTGTTTGCTTCGTCTTCCAGCTAATCTTTTTGCTTCCCAGTATCGGGATTATTTTAAAACATATCCAAGAGGATTACTTTCATGGCTTAAAACATAAGAGCAGCGTATGGACTGGACCGCTGGACCGGGCTGCACTCAGTTACAGGAACCGAGGAAAATCTGAAGTTTGCATCATTGAGTCATGAGCTGATTGTTGGTTTGGGCTGCAGATGATGTTTGGCTTCATGGGGGCTTCAGAGGTCATGTGACCTGCTGTCTCTGGGCAGATGGTGTCACGGTTCCCCGGCCGAGTCGGGCTGGACTCTGAGGCCCGGTTCTGCCTCTGCGCGTCCTCAGCTGACTCAACAACAATCTCTGGATCGTGACATAAGAGCAGGCCTGAAGGAGCGTCATGATAAATAAAGATCAGGGGGGAAATAATTTGGGATTTAAAAGCACAACAGACAAATTCAACCTGATGTGGAATAAAACCACATCAGCTTAAAGGATTTGGCTGTTTTAACTTTGCCTGTTTGGAAATAACAGGAAGCTGCTTTGTCTGTTTTTTGTGGTGATTTGGGTCCATTTCAGTTACATTCCTGTTCAAACATTTAAAGTTACGCTGTGACCTACTATATCCACATTGAAATAAGAATGTTGCGTCATCCGACTCACACTTCTTCCTCTTCATGGAGGCTCATAAATCTTTAACGAGCGTTTCTATTTATCTAAAAAACGAGTCTGCGTCTCGGATTTAAGCGCTTGAGAAATGATTCGTTTGGCTTGTTGAGCTGTGTTGGCCTCGTTGTTACCAGTTTGCGTAGCGATCAGAGCAATCATCCTCGCCCAGCTGAAACGATTAATTATCCGCCATGAAGGAAAGATGCAAATCCCAGAGAGGTCTGGTGGAGGATTGATGCTCAGCGACTTCTGCTGCTCTTTCAGAAAACATTAACTGGAGGAGGATGAGAGACGTTTCCAATGACGGCAAGATGAGCTACTTCAGAGCAGAATGTCTGATTATGCTTTGTAAACTATTTAGATATCTGATCCTTCCCAAATCAGACAGAATTAGACTAATGGCTGCTAGCCGGCCTGTTTGTCCATTGAGCTTTGCTCGAAGAGCTGCAGCAACCAGGAGGGATCAAATCCATGAAGGCCGTAGTAGCAGCCAGAGGCTAATAAAGATACTTTTACACTGCAGTAGAAAACATTTCTGACAGCCGTTCGGACTGCAGTAAGAACCCTAAAAGGTAAAGTTCATGACAATAGATGCATACTGAACCAGTGATACTATCTGGATGAATAAATGTGACTGAGCTGCTTTTCTGCTCCTGGTTTCATCACTGGAGCAGCAACGTTCTCTGATTTGTTCATTATTTTGTTGGTTGATAGATTCCATGTTTGGACATTTACTCTCTGGTTTCGGATGCTGGAAGGATTTTTCCTCTTACATTTTTACTTTTGGATGTTTGTTGTGATGTGTAACCGTGGCAACACGGCATTGTTTTTACAACTGGGAGCAGCTAATTAGGTTCTCAACAGCTTAGATAATACCCCAAATACAGCCCTGGATCTCAGAGGAGTTAAAATGAGGCTTCAGCAGGAAAACAGAACATTTCCTTTACTCCAGAGTCTCTGCCAGGTTTTCTAACCATAAGACCAGATGGAGATTTGAAGAGGAGCAGCAAAAACAAATGAGGTGGATTAGCAGAGCTTGAGAACAAATGATGGTGGCATCCAGGAGCATCGTCTCTGCTGCCTGGATATTGAGCTGTTATCATGTCAAGAGCCAGAGACTGTTGCACAGCAAGTCTTCAGTCAGAGGTTACTTCAGATTCACTGTAGGACTGACTGCTACTGGAGAGTTTTCCTGCATCACCAGAACGACTGGAGGAAGATACGTGGATGATAAAAGATATTTTTTAGCCTAAAATATGTCAGAATTGAATTTTCTGACAAAAAACATCAGTGTTATCCAAGTCTAATGAAATGTAATCGTTCCTTATGATTATTTTAGCTGCATTAACATCAGAACCGACCCGTTGGACACCTGGAGGAGTGATGATCTGAGCTGGTCCAGCAGCAGTGAACTCGTCTGAAGTTCTGCAGAGTTAAATATGAGTCTGTTTACCAAACCGGGTCAACAGAACTATGATCACAGCAGCAGATCCACAACAGACTGACTGATCGAGATGCCATGTTGACCTAGTCAAAGTCCAGATCCTGTGGTTCTGTGCTGTTTTGTGACTGAACTAACGGTGGACCTGTGTGTTCTGGTCCTGCAGCCGACCTGCTGGTCAACACGCTGTGCCTGCCCTTCACGCTGGTCTACACGCTGCAGGGCGAGTGGAAGTTCGGCAGCACGCTCTGCTTCCTGCTGCCCTACGCCCAGGTCCTCGCCGTGCACGTCTCCACGGTGACGCTCAACGTCATCGCCCTGGACCGCCACAGGTGGGTGGAGCTTAGCATCAGTCAGACGTCGTCGTCTGCTTTGGTTTTAAAATGATTCTTCAAACCTTTATGCCTAATTCAGACCTGAAAACCTCCAAAGGTTCAATAAGCCTGTTCATTGATTTTAGATCAATTATCTAAAATCATGGAGTGAATTCTCCATCGTCTCGCAGATCAGATGATTGGAATAAAATCCACTTTTTGAAAATACCTTATGTCTTTTGCAGTTTCTTTTGTAGAAAAGAAAAGAATGATTTTTTTTTAAATCTAGAAAATTATATTAAAATCTGATCTGGTATGAAACAAATATAAATACATTTATTTTCAGAATTTTACTTTTAATAATAATTTTATTTAAGTTATTTTTCATTTTAAAAACAGAGGTGAAACATAAATATTTTGAATTTCATCGTTTTTCCTGGTTGTCGTCTGCATTCCTTCGTCTGATTGGCTGAACTCTGGTCACAATAATAAATTATTCAGAACAGCAGGAAACCTGGAAACATATTTTACTCATTTTGACTTAAAAATCTGAACAAGATCTGATTTTCATAATTTAAATCTGTTCTACCTTATGGAGGATTTTGACCTGCCGGACATGTGGAGCGCTGCAGGCTACATGATTTGCATCCAGAGTTAAATTTTAATCCTGGAAACAGCAAAGGATTAAACTTTAAACACTGTTATATTACATTTAGTCCATTGAGATTCTCCTGAGGGCCTCGGCAGTGTCATGACGAGTTTTCTTCTCTTCTTTCTGGTCGGGAGAAATCCCTGGTGTTCCTGTTTCTGAGTCAGGCCTTACTTACATTTTTATGAGATATATGCATATTATTCTTTGTTTTCTTTTGTTTTTTCACATATTTCTTCTTTTCATCTTGTATGATTTGCTAGTTTTACTTTTCTCTATTTCCTTGCTGTGATATTTAGAACATAACCACAAATAAAAGTTTTATTAATAAGCATGTAGGCTGAGAAAATGGACAGATATTGGCAGAGATTCAACCAGTAAATGAAAATCCTGCTAGATGTAATCTGAAGTTTACTCAAATTAGGTTTTATAACATCATATTTTGTTGAATTAATGTGTTAAATATTCTTAAATTCATTCAGTTTTTTGCAGTTTTGAGTTCTGCTCAATAAAAGTGGCGCTTCTGAAGGGTTTAGTCTCACATCCATTACATTCCTTATGTTTTTAAATCTCCATCATCAGTTAAAACCAGATTTACATGCATTGCATTAAAACACAACTTCTTGCTTTTCTAGGAAACTATGAGAATTAAAAGTATTTGTATTCTGAGTAACTTGAGACATATTTTTGTTTTATATTTTACTTTCTTCATCTGGCAGAATTGCCTTTTAAGTGGCATAATAGGTAAAAAGAGAAGTAATTTAACTTAATTAAGTTGGTTTGGCTGTTTTTAACACAAAGCTATTGAGTTCTGTTTTATTGGATTGAGATCGGGAAAATAAAAACATTCTAGTTCTATTTAATTTGAGCCTGTATTTAGTGTGGCTGCTTGTTTGGAAGAAAAATGCTTTGAACTGAATAAAATGGATTCGGTTTATTTGGCTGGGACATTGTTCGTTCCCAGCGATGCTGCAGAAAGTTCACCAGCTGGCCCAGAATCGCTTCAGGAAAACATAAAAATGCTGCTGACGCACAGCCCATTAACTTTCTCTAATTCTTAATCAAAACATATTTTAACGATTTGCGTTCAGAATGATTTAAATCTGTCCAAAAATGGAAGCTTTTCTCTTGTGTGACCATATGCTGTGGATGTCCAGCACCTGCTCCACCAGCCGAATCGTTTCTGTTGAGCTTTAAACCGTTTCCAGCTCCGGAGGCCAGAGGAAACTTTTAATCTCACCTTTGCACAGGTTAAACTCTGGCCACTGCTCAGGTGTTGTCGCGCGTTTGTGCTTCAGCTTTGGCTCCAAAGGGAGCGGCGCTAGCTTTTAATCCTCAGCAAACAGATGGCTGCCAGAAGACCGCAGAGGTGCACTTGGCTGACGAACGGTGCGTTCACCGAATATAAATAAAAAGAAAGACAGAAAAAGAGCGGCGGAGACGATTACGACTCCGGGTGTTAATCTTTACTGCTCACTGGAGGCAACAACTAAAAATCAGGACAACAAAGTCAGTTTGTCTTTGTTTCACCTCCAAAATAAGCAGCAGCCGGACACGTTTACTGAAGGGTTCAGGCCTTGATTTTGTTGCCTTTAGATCCAGTCCAGCAGTTTAATAATTTAATGACTGGAAATTCTTGAGCATTTTCACAGAATGAGACTTTGTCACCTCAGACTAAAAGACTTTCTGATGGCATTGAATTGATCCAGTTAGGCTGTTAATCAGGCAGATTAAACGAGTTTTCTCAGTCAGGCGGTTAATTAGCCATCAGAGGGAGGAGCTGCCATGTTGGCTTCAGTTTACCTGCTGCACTCTCTCTCTCGCCTCGGGGGACGGCATAACCAGGGTTGTTGTTGGATTTCTTCCCAAATTACCGACACAGAAAACTCAAACTGGGACGAAATGTTTTGTTTTCTCACTTTGTGGGATTTTAAATGATTGTGTCAGCAGTTGGTTCTGAGTAATATGACAAAGAGGCTGATTGACTGAAATGACCTGAAAGATCGCTGGGAATCGTTTACTTAAATGTATCTGCTTGACATTATTTTGTCAAAATAAAGTATATTAAAGTAGCAAATGTTGAAGTTTGTTCCTGCTTTAGACTTCTGCAGCATTGTGATGAAGTTATCTAATGGATTTAATTTGTTTTTGCTTTCTGACCCATTTAAATATGACAGATTATAAAAATATACCAGATAGAAACAAGATTCAGCTCTGATTTCATTTAATAAGCCAAAATCAACCAGGACTTATATGAAAAACTCAAATCTTAAAACTAATTTTTAAGTTTCCTGAGATTGGGGCATCATTTGGGCCTTTTAAAGATCTTTTAGCCTACTTCGTGTTGTCAGACAGGTACTATTAAAGAGATCTGATCTTGAAATTGTTTATGTTTCAATAAGGAGCAGTGGTGAGAACGTGAACCAAAATGTTAGCTGCATTAACTGTAAAGCACTAATCATAAATATTAGTTCTGCTAAAGCTGAAGCGAAACACAGTATTTAGTAGAAGCTAATGCTAAATTGCTAACTTCAATTCATATCTGCTATAGAAAACCTACAAACCTCGAGCACCAATTTAATTTTGTTCTGTTCTTCTTTACTGTCCAGTTAATTGAGGAAGAGGAGAGAAAAGATGAGGACATACTTCAAAATAAGAGCATAAGTAGAAATGGAATAAATCTTAACTGACAACTAAAACTTCAACAATGATGTCAAACTTTTACAAATTTTACAAAAACAGCCAAGTAATTGAGAGGTTTTCAAATTTATCTGTGAAAATTATTGTAGAGGAAATGAAGTGCGCTTTTCAAAGTTAGCAAAAGCACTAAATGAAAAATTAGCGCTGCTATTAGCGCATTAGCAGAAATAAGCACCACTGCAAAGGAAGAAGCTTTTACTGATCACAGGATGATTTTGGAGTCTTTGTCCCTTTTATGAATGAATGAATGAATTTATTAATTATCACTTACATGAGAACAAACATTCAAAAACAACAGGGGTAGAAAAAATGTCCCTGTTGTTTGACGGTTCAGGTCGTTGTCATGGTTACGGTTCAGGTCGTTGTCATGGTTACGGTTCAGGTCGTTGTCCTGGTGAATTGAGACCCGGCCAGTCTTGATGTTTTCCAGTTGTTAACATGTTTTTCTTCCAGGATTGTTCTTTAATTTATAACTTATAAAAATACCAAGCTGTTAATCCAAGCAGGCATCAATTCACTGAAATGCGTCCAATCGTCTTCCCATTACCGGATTTCCTGTTGGTTTTCCATTACATGTCATGGAGTCACGATTCCAGCTGTGAGTGGAACTGAGTTGCATTAAAGTCCTTCATTAGCTTTTCACCTGCACCTCTTCATCTGCTCTTTATGTCCCAACCTTTCGCAGAAACGCTGACAGTGAATGACTTGGCGTTCCTGATGAGGCTGCAGCTGGAATCACATCATCAGCTCAGACCTGCAGCTCTGGCTCAATATAATGATATAGTAATATTTTTTAATAGTTGAGCTTCATTAGTTTTCCCAAGTTGGTGATAATTGGAGTCTGCAGGACGATCTGAGCTTAAGTGGAAAGGGTTTTGGCTGAATGAGGAAAAATGTTACATTTAGAGATTAAAGTTGATATTTTAGAATAGCTTTGGAAAACCTTGTTATAGATGTGACTGTTACTGTTAGTCATATAAATTACCTTCTAACCAGACTAATGATCTTTTGGCAAAATTAAAGTTTCAATGAGTCACAAAAAGCTGATTAACTGACTGAACACTAACTATCCCCAACAAACACTGCCAACTGGACTCCTCTAAAATGGGTTGAGAACCGTCCAACACAAAACTAAAAACTGGAAGGAAAGAGGGGAACCATTTTCTTACTGGAAACTCTGTGATCGGTGATCAGTAATTGATTTCCTCAGGCGTCTTTAACCTCCTCTATCTGCTGAATTAAAGTCTGTAAAGACGTGAAAATTCACATTTTCAACCACCACATATTTCTTCCAATGGCTTTGATAGGACTTATGGTTTTTTACACTGTGACTGAGGTTTGAACTTTGAAAACAACTGCACCAGAAAAGGCAGGAGTCTCCACGGCAACCAGTGACTCAGCAGCTGGAGTCTGCTTCTTCTGGAACAGCCTTGCTGATGGTTCGCGGGCGCCCCTAGTGGTTCGCGAGGTACTGCATGTAAACGACCGTTTATTTGCCGTGACGTCAGCTCAAAGCGCGACGCTACAGCTAGCTTACCAAAGGATTGTATTAAAAAAATAATAATGGATAAATGGCTTCCACACCGGTGGAAAGAAAACAACGGCAGAAATATTTATATGATCAGAGGAAGCTGAGTCAGACCTGCTGTACTGAAACTAGTCTCAGTTGGTGAGAACTGATCTGATTTTTAGGAGTTTGCTCGCTAATGATGCTCTGCTAGCACGTCAACAGCTACTATTATTTTTATTTAATTAGAAATTATTTGATTGGCAAATAAATACCTTAGGTAGAAATGGGTGGATCATTTTTAGCTCAGAAGATGATTTTTATTTCTGCCAAATCAAGTCAAGTCTATTTTTCTTTAACTGTGTTTCTAAATTACAAGTAAATTGTTATTACTGCACACAACCCTTGGAAATAAAGAACTTATTTTTTGTTCCATGTACTTGACATCATTGAAATCTTAGAATCCATATTATTAATTTCAGGTTATGTGGTTCTGAGTGTTTGTTGAAAGGGTTAAGATTGTGGAACATGAAGAAAGTTGATGTTCCATCATTTTGATCTGACATCTTCTGGTCTTCGTTGTGCTTTAAATAAAACCACACAGTGAGTTGTGAGCTGTTCCTGGGCTCCGCTCTGGATTATAAAACCGCTGGGATGCATTTTAAATAACAAACTGCTCCCACAGAGACATCAGCCTGAATAATCCATACCGCTTTTGTTGCTGCTCTCCTGGTGCGGGCCGGAGGTTAAGTGGCAACATTACAAGGGTGGAGCGCTTTCCTGCTGCTTGTTCATGAAATTCCTATCAGCTCCAGCATCCATTATTAATCTGAGGCCATCATTAGTGTCAGTGTGTGTTTTACAAGCTGGACTCAGCCCTGTGTGTGTGTTTCAGGTGCATCGTGTACCACCTGGAGACCAGGATGAGGAAGGATGTGTGCTTCGGGGTGATAGCGCTGACCTGGGTGCTGAGCGCCGTGCTGGCCAGCCCCATGGCCATCTTCAGAGAGTACGGCTCGTTTGTGCTGGACCCGGGCCACACCTTACAGGTACCGTCAGCCCAGGAGGGCAGAGGGTTTACTCAGTAAACTGTAGCCGTACAAGAAAAGACTCAAGCTCTGAGTAACTGATCAAATCATTTAATATTTAAAAATTACATCATCAGACAGACCAACATGTAAGACATGCGTGTAACAAAAAAAAATTACAAAATCAGGCAAAAGAAAATGTTTCCAAATCAGTTTCTATCAATAAAAAAGTTAAGAAACTTTAACAAAAACTGCAGCTGTGTGTCTGTGTGGTGAGTTTTTGGTTAAAACATGTTTGTTCTTCATTCAGTGGGTAGAAAATCCAGTAATTTAACTCAAGTAAGAGCAGAAATACTTCATAGTAAAATGACTCAAGTAAAAGAAAAAGGTACAGCGTAGTAAAAATACTCCTAAAAGTAAATAAAAAAAGTTACTGAAGTAAATGTAATTGAGTAAATTTAACTAGTTACTATCCAACTCTGCCAGTGATTCCCCTCACACACACACACACACACACACACACACACACACGCTTAAGCAGCAAACATTTCCCCTCAACCCTGTGCTTTGATCCTGCTGCTCCTTCTCTTCCTCCGTTTCTCCCTTTCTGACTTTTTCTCCTCTTCTCAGCTGCTGCCTCCTTTTGTCTCGCTTTTATCTTTTTTACCGTGGATTTCTGCACTTAGCGTAATTCCTGCACCTGGATGCTGCAGAGCATCACTTTTTCACGTTTTCCTTTCATCTTCCTGGAAAAAGGAACTGCCGTGTGTCACTTTCCTCATCAAAGTGTGAAATATGTAACGATCGTAGCAGCTGCACAGAGCGGCTTGATTAGGAATGAGAATCTCTATCAAACCTTCATTTCTGTATATTCTCCTGCCAAACAGACGGACATTCTTTGGTTTTCATCTACATTATCAACACTTTTTGAACATCTTTTATGCTTTTAATACTCAGATATTTGTCAAAAATGTCTCTGCTGGTTTTCACTGAAACAAAGTGACAAAGACCAGGGACACGAGTCTGTTAGGCTTAGAAGGAACTTTAAAACTTTTCTAATTTTTTTACATTGTTTACCACAAGTATTCAGAAGTTCACCAAAGATTTAAAAAACCTAGAATGTCTAAATGATGTCAAATGAAGTGTTTTGCTTCTCCAGACTTTGCTACAGATTTTTCCTGTTTGTCTTTGAACCTTCTGAACTGAACGTGTGGTTCTGTTTCCTCAGTTCTGTCGGGAGAAGTGGCCCGGTAAAGGAACGGACGGCACGCTCTACAGCATCTCCATGCTGATCCTGCAGTACTTCCTGCCGCTGTCCATCATCTCCTTCGCCTACGCCCGCATCTGGTCCAAGCTGCGCGGCCACGTCAGCCCGGCGGAGAGCAGCGTCAACAGCAGCGCCAGCTCCGAGCGACACCGCCGCCGCCGCAAGACCACCAAGATGCTGGTGACCATGGTGGTGGTGTTCGCCGTCTGCTGGCTGCCCATCCACGCCTTCCAGCTGGCCACCGACATCGACAGCTCCGTGCTGGACATGCGCGACTACCGCCTGCTCTACACCATCTTCCACGTCATCGCCATGTGCTCCACCTTCGCCAACCCGCTGCTGTACGGCTGGATGAACCGCAACTACCGCGCCGCCTTCCTCGCCGTCTTTAAGTGTCGCAGGGACCGCGGGCGGGGCGGCCGGCTGGACAGCATCCACCCCGTCGGCGGCGGGGCAGCCGGCGCGGCGAGGGCCAAGAAGATCGTCCTGGAGACACAGGACCCGGTCTCCACGCACCTGAACGCCACCGACGTGTGACGACCGCTCGCTGGAGGACGGAGGAGAAACGGACGGAGATGATGGAGGGAGTTCCTCAAGCAGGGGAGGACGAGGGATTAGAAGATTTTATTATCCGGAAACAGAGGAGGACATGGAAATGATGGAGGATTAGAGAGACAGAAGAACAGAGAGTGAATGAATGACTCCGAGTTGTGGAACAACTGAAGCGGCGTCTCTTTGAAGACGTGACCTCGACATGATGGAGAACTCCCAAACGACGAGGAGGAGGAGGAGGAAGAGGAGGAGGAGGAGGAAGAGGCGTCCTCTGGGGCGTCGGTTCAAGTCAAATTCATCTCCATCAGACAAGATCATGAGTGAAACAGTTCAGCTTGGTGATGCATTCTGGGAACAGGGCTGAACTCTGCCTGTGAAGCATTCATTTAACCTCGAGTGGCTTATTAAAGTCCCGCAGCAACCAGGCTGCTTCCCGCCGCAGGAGGAAACACGAATCTCTGCGCTTGATACGTGAAAGCTGGTCAAATTTAGACGGATTACGTTGAGGGAGAAGGGTTTTGGTTTTTAGACGGAGGAGGAGAAACAAAAGGTTTGTGTCATTTAGAAAAATGTGTTTTGCATCAAATGAGCTGGAAACGATCCCTGCTTTCCACCAACACATGAATGTTCAACCAGACTGTCGCTTACGCGGCTGATCCAGTCGCAGCTTCGTTATTTTTGATAAAATGTTTTGCTAATTTCTGCTGTAAATTTGTTTCCGGCTTGTTAAAGAAACGTGAGCGCCGGAGTGTTTTTTATTATTTCCAGTTTTTGAAAAGGTTTGTGCTTTTGGTGCAGAGCTGATTGATATGCATGGCTGGCCGACCCTCATGTGGCCGAGACGCAGGCAGCTGGATGAGGGACAGGAAGCAACCAAACGTCTCTGATCTTACACGATCATTTCTGTCCATTTTCAGTTATTTTTTCTACTTCCTGTTTTGATCCTGCGGTTGAAGCATTCAGGTGAGGCAGAGGAACAACATTTTGTTTTTTTCCCCAACACACCTACATGGTTGGACAATATTATCCTCTTGCATTCTCTGCAGCTTATTGATATTTTTCCCGTTGCATCGATCAAGAACTCCTGATTTGCAACATTTCAAAATAACGTCTGATCAGTTTTCTATTTATTCCAAGAAAATATTAAAGTAGTGTCAGGATGTGTAAGAAATCTTTAAATAGGTTTGTTTTATTTTATGTAGTAATTTCTTGCACTGAAAAGTCCCTTTAAAAGAGAAGCAGGCCCGCAGCATCACACATCCTCCACCCTGCTGAGCAGTGGGTATGAATACGAGTTAAATTAGCTTTTTGTTTCAAAGCTGACGTGTTTTTTGAAAATATTTCACCAGTTAAAGTTTCTAACTTGGCAGAAATTACACCCACAAGAACAACTAAAATAAATTATTTCAGAAAATAGTAACACAAATATGTAAATAATCTCAGATGCAGATATTTTTTTGAAACACCACAAAGTATTAAAATAATAATATTTTTATCGATCCAGGTTCTTGGCCATCATTATATCTACAAGCACAGATAAATTATTGCAAAAAAAAGAGATTAAATAAAAAAAAAAAATCTTAATATCAAGATAGATGATAATGTAAAATATTAACGAATGTGACCTTCATTCGTTTGTTCAGACGAGACGTTGGGAGGATTTTAATGGGTTTGAATCCAACCTGCTGTGTGACGATGAGGATGATGAGGATGATGAGGATGTTTTCCTTAACGGTCTTCATCACTGCTGAACACAGAAACACGGCTCCCTGCCTGAGTTTTAATCTCTAAATGGCTCCATTGTTCCAAATGTTAACAGACGGATTTAATTATGAGTTGAAGCGTTAATTGCTTCATTCATCATGAATGGATGTAAAATAGAAACATGAATGAGTGAAATCAGCGTTTCAGGAGATAAACTAATCAGAAACAGAAAAGGGAAATAAAAGAAAAGTTCAGGCGACCAGAACAAAAGAGAAAAAATCTGATTTTCCTGAACTCGTCTTTTCATTTTCACTCCTTTGTGTTTTAGAAATTATTTTTATGGAAAGTAAAGAGTCTTCTTGGCTGAAATAATTATACTGTACCACAAAGTGCTTTAGTTTAAAATTTACTTTTAAAAAAATAAAACAATTTTCTTTTTTAATTTAATAAAATAAAAAGTTTTTACATTTTTTGCTCATTTTTAGTTCCTTGAGCCTTTGATGTTACATTATCTTTTTAATATATTGTTTTTTTGGAATACTTTAAAGCACAATTTCACAGAAAAAGGAGGAAACCCTGTGGGGACATTAATATTTACTATGAATATTATTAAAAAATAATTTCAAAAGAGACTGCCAAAGCATTTACTTATACTCTATGTAATGTTTAGATGATTTATTACTGCAAAATGCAAAAAAAAAATATTTCCCAGATATAAACTATCTTTAGAAAAAATCTAAAAATCTCATCAACCATTTATAGAAATAATTATGTTTGGATTTTTTGTTTCATTTTTCCTTATTGTCTCTAAAATGTTAAATAAAAGTTAAAGAAAGCAGCAACTATAAGTTGGTGATATCGACTTAAAATTGCATCACAATATTTTGTAATATCATGATAATGAAACTATTTATTATGTATTTTTAGTGTTTTAAGTAGCTGCATGGCTGTGACTGCATGACGCCAACCAAGTTTAAATAAAACATTTTAAACAGGCATCTTCAGGACACCCAGCTGCACAGTGACTGAATTTAACAGATTTATTGATACTTTCATCAGACAAATATTTTAGAACGTACTGAAAATAACAATCTTTTACTTTTATGATAATAGTAAAGGATGCAATAAATCTCCATCTCCAGCAAAGACATTTAGTGTTGAAACTCAAAAGTAAAATTTTATCTGATGAATGTTCACATTAGGATTATATGAAAAATAAAATCTGATTTGACAGAAATCTGAAAACCTTTTTTTAATTAAATACTGATAAAATGTTTAACTCTTGAAACCTTGATGGTTAAATCTGTAAAGTTTGCCTGTTGTGTCTGAAAGCAGGAGAATTTGGTCAGATTTTTCTCTTTATTTTAGGATTTACTAAAGTTAAGATAAAATCCTTTTATCCTTTTAACGATTCCAGTTAGAAAACTGTAAAAGTGACCTGTCAAGCCAACCTGATGCAGGTTATTGGGTCCATAATAACACGTTAACCACGTTTCTCTGCTTTGTTTTATGCTTTCTGTATGGAAACATTTACGGTGGCTCAGAAGGGTCAAGAAAACGCAAAAGCTGCAACAGAAGTGATGCTAAAATAAAAGCTGTGCTAGTAAATTTAGCATCACCTTGGTTGTGACTTTTGGCTGTTGTTGTTTCATTGTGGCTTTTGCATTTTGTTGACCCTTCTGGGCCACCGTAAATAATGCAGTACATTTAATTATTGTATTTTTATTTCATGTTGCTATAAATAAACATCCTCTCTTTTTTGTTGGACTTCTAAACCTTCTTTTGGATCAGGACTGGAAGTCAAACTTTTATAATTTCTTTTTTATTGCTGTTTTTGCTCTTGTTTTTAAAGTGAAACATTTCATCTTGTCTCTGCAGATGTGAAATATTTGGAGGTTTGTGGCAGGATGACCACAGATGCTGCTTGACCTTCTACCAGACGTGAATGTAAACCGCTTTGTAACATGGCTGTAACGTTGTAAAGTTCATTATTGTAAAGTTGTGTGTAAATATGAACTGTGTGAGCGACTGTAATCAAGCACAACCTGTTGGCCTTTACTTGTGTCCAACAACAGATGTACTATTGTCAAGCACAGCATCGTCTCCTGGCTCTTTCTTTCTGCGTTCGGCTCTTTTATTCACATTTTCTGGAGTTATTGTAACTAAAGCTTTATAAATTTCACACCTTCCAAGACATAAAATCACAAAATGCTTCGTAATAAGTTAATACAACCACCCAAGATGCAACAATGCATGAAAAAACAAAAAGAAATATTAAACAAAAGTAGATGTATACCAGAGTCCATCAATCTGTCCAGTCTTTTTAAACTAGATCTGATTAAAATATCCTGTTTTTATTTATCTTTTGGTAGATTAAAACTTCTAAAACACTTCGTTTCATCATCCATGAGCCATAATCATCAAAATTAAAAGACACAAAGGCTCTAAATATTAATGAGTTTCGCTTTGTTTTTTTTAATATATTAATGTGTTCGGTAGGACTGGAATTTTTAACATTAATTTTGACATTACAAAGACTTTAAAACATTAAAAATTTTAATACAATTAATTGCGTTTCTCAAACATACAAGACATCTGGAGGGAACCTTTGTATTTACGTGTTTCTGGTACGCCGGTAAACCTGATGCACACATAACATCCACAAGCTGCGATGGACGGCAGAGCGGCTTTTCTTGGCACACTGGGGGTTAATTTCTGCTTCCATCTGATTGGATGCTGGGAAAGATTACTGTGGTGTTGAAGTTGTGCTAAAAGGAGTTAGCTAATCAGTGAAGCATCTCCATGCTAAACATGCTAACGCTAATGCCAACATTTCTAATGGGTTGATAAACACTCTGCACCAATATGATGGTTTAAGGACCTAAATAACATTAAAAACAATAAATATATTTGTCATTGAGCTCACATGTCAATTTATTCAATAATGTAGCAGCAAAAAGTGTTTTTGAATTAAAGTTGTTGCTGGTTTTGTCACTATCTAGTTTTACAGTTAGCGGTTTAAAACACGGCGCTGTGCCAGCATCATTCAGGGTCACATCTCAGAACTGGAGCTGGACACCAGCCATCGAGACCAGAAGCTTTGTGTGGAACCATTAAGAACCGTTAGTTACTTTATTACTTCTTGACCTTCTTGACTCACTTTGTAATAATTCAACCTTCACAGTTGGACACAAATCCTTCCACTTTTCTCCTCACAAGCTGAAAGTCATTCTGAGCTGATGGAAATCAAAAGCAGAAAAGTGGGCTGACTTTGACGAAGTGCAGCAGGACGCGGCTTCATGAGCCCCGAATTATTATGACTGAAACGCCGAACGATTCTGGTCATTAATCATAAAGTCTTTGTTCTGTATGAAAATCATCCATTGTGGTGGAAAACGGTTAATTAAAATACGTCTAAAGGACACTTTTGAATGACTTGGAAGTTTAAGGATGATTACCCATAATGCACTGCTTCTTTTAGGACTCTGTAAATATGCCTGAAAACGTTCAAATGCATCTGTTGTGACAATCTGCTGGTTAATTTCTGATGTTTTCCTCAAAGCCAAACTTTTGTCCTTCAAGAAAAACATGAAGGCCAAATTAAAATGGTTTCAGATGTTTAATTCACAAATTAGTGAATATACAACAAACATAACAGACTAAGAAAAAGGAAAAAGAGGTATTGATCTACAAAATAAATAACAAGAAGGGATGCATTAAACAGTTTAATATTAACAAAGACAATAGAATAGAACAGAAATATTTATTTTATCAGCAAAGTCACAAATGGAGAAATGTTCTTTGGACAGACGAGTCTAATTTGGACACCAGGACAGAGGAGATGTTTTATATTCCTGATATTCAACAAAGGTTCATTTTCCTGCATCATCATAATAATAATAATAATAATAATAATAATAATAATTACAAATTAGTAACTTGGAGTTCAGAAACCCAAACGTTCAGACTCAGGTGAATCAAACTGTATTTTTCAGTTTTTCTTCGTTTATCACTTCTCTGGTTAATTTTCTAAATGCAGAACAAAAGAGCTGGTTGTGCTAGCAGGTAGCATGTCTCCTCGTCTGCAGCTGGGTTTTCTCCAGGTACTCTGGCTCCTAACGTTCATGTCAGGTGGTTTGAGCTGCTCTCTGGTCTGAGATTTCTAGAATAAAACATGAAGGACTCAACATTCATTTGGGTAAATTTCAATCTATTGCAGCTCTGAAAACGTAAGAGCCCAAACCTCACCGAGTGTGAGACGGATTCAGAGCGTTTCCATGGTTTCCTGTTGCGGTTCATTCTCAGCAGATCCTAATTAGGACGGATAAGTCCTCAGGCCCGTAGAACAAACTCTCTCTAGACACTTTTCATGCAAACAGTGTTTGAGATCCAGTTGAGTTTGTTTTCCACCTCATGATGATTTCAGATCCCAGAGCCTGTTTACATTTTAAACCCAGCAGAACCGACTCATTTCATTACATTTAACACCGGAGGGTTTAGTGGGGCTGGTTTTCACACACACACATTTATAACTGGTGTCTTAAATCAAGTTCATGAACTTACAGGGTTTATTTTATGTTGAGTGGAGTGGTGAGAATAAAAGCTGTGGATGTTCATTAAATCAGGTTAAATGGCTCCTATTTTTGGTTGGAATAATTAAATTCATTTGTGTTTGCTAAATGCTGGTTTCATCTGGTTTCATCTGATTTAATCTGGTTTAATCTGGTTCCATCTGGTTTTTTATCTGGTTTCATCTGATTTAATCTGGTTTCATCTGGTTTCGTCTGGTTTCATCTGCATCCATTCACAGCCTCAGCAGCAACGTCTAAAAGAGTTAATCCGATCAGAAACCTCCCTTATCAACAGTTCAGTAA